TTAAAGTAAAAAGAGGAATCAAACCTACACGACTTCTATTCCATTTGTTGGATGAAAACCAGAAGTTTGGAATGTGAGCACAGCCCCTGGATGCTGCGGACTCCTCCCCCTCATGCGTATATTCAAAGATGAATGATTGGATAGCACCTGATAGTAAAGCTGATAAAGTAATGACAAATGAAATGTTCAATTCACCAAATTTAAAGCAACGAAAAATAAATTGCGTAGTATGCAATTTAAACAAATGACCAAATGTTTAAATTCAGACTTTTTATATCAGAAATTCAAGATCATGTGCAAATGTTAGAAACTCCCTACAGAGTTGACAGGTCTTATTCAAACCTACAATATCTGGTAATATGTTATTACACAAATAACTAAATAACTTGTTTTAAGTCTGTGAATCTGATAGAGGATTTTAAAAGATCAGTTTATCTAAAATTAGACATTTCACTGAAAAAACTGCTGTTCAGTCTTGACTAGCCACCTCAGCAATTTCCAACAAAGAGCAAACAGAAAGACCTCAAGATCCATAGCAGGAATATAAGGTAAATAAAACTGCAGCTTTTGCTGCCAAAGTACTGTATGCAGAGTCACTGTGGATCTGCATAAGGGGCTGGCCTGGGAAAGACTTTTCCTTCCTTGTCTAAAAGGAAAATGAAGGACTACAGAGGCACTGTTTGACAGTGATTCTACACATAGAAGCCTGATGGTAGTGATCACTTTCAACTGGGTGGTTAGAACCATCATACTCAAAGCATCAAACAGTGAATGATGGCAGTAAAAATGGCTGGATAATGTACACTGAGGGCTCATATAGGTTGAGTACAATAAGTACCAGATGAGAGTCAGTTACGCCAGTGAATGAGTATAAAGTTATTTTAAGGACCGAGACCAGCATAAACCAGTGCTTTAAAGGAACAGATTGGACATGACGCTGTTTACCTTCTGGAGTTATAGAACTGATAGACAAATCAAAAATAGAGTTGGCTAAAGTACAAAAGAAATCACTCTACTTCGAAACATGGAGCTAAAATTCCTGTTTGGTATTCAGCCATCTCTGTAGCAGCATTGCTTACTGTCACTTAGTGAACTATAAATTCAGCAACACAGCAAAGAGAGCCAAAGGAGGAGAGACATCCCTCAAAAAAGAAGCAAAAGTGAAGCCATCGTTAAACTTTCATCTGGATAACTCAAAAGAACACATGCAAATCCCAAGAAGAAAAAAGCTAAAATTATTAATGTAAATCATGCTGCAAACAAAGTAACCGAGCAGGGGGAAATGGTTAAAAAAAATGTAAAGATTTTGTAGGAAAATATAAAAAATACTTTAAAGATATATATTTTTGTTCAAAGGGCTGCCTAGTGGGGCTAGGGGGTTTCCAAACTTGTTCCACAGAAGGAAAGAAATGAAGTGATGTTCTCATTCTCATACTGTGTGTAGATCTCAAAGTGCCACCTGTAAACAGATGCTGGCCAGTATTGATCAGAGATATGATTCTGATTGGATTTCAACATGCCCATTTCTTATGAGTGAACTGGTCCAAAGTTTTGACTAATACAGTATAATAGTGATCAACCAAACAGTATACAATGTATTTAAGCAGCAAAGAAGTTTTCAGTTATGTATAATATGAAAAAATGATTACTAACTAAAGTAACTGGAGTACTTTCAGGTCAGAGTCCAGAATGAGCACTTTGTCTCTCTCTGGCTGTTCAATACAGATTGAATTATGTTAGATGATCCTGAGATAATCTGCTGATTCAAAGATCATAACAGCCCTGTTTAAATCATCAAGTGTGTTAAACTACATGATCATTCTCAGCATTTATAAACAAAGCAACGATTATTTCAGAATTTTAAAGAACAACAAGCATGGACAGATTCATGGCTAAAAAATGATTGAGAGGTAAGCAAGCTTTAGTGAGCATATTATGTCAATGTGCCAAATGGAGCAACACGCCTCCTTGCAGAGAGGAGTCGCTCCAGAAAGAGATTGGTCAGGAAAAAATAATCCACTGACAGAAGGTTAAAACCAGCACTGAACAGTTTTAGTACTTGGTTTGCTTAAATTTGCTTGAGAAGCCTTAGAGAGCATGTGCATAAAAAAGGAATTACAGTTATGCCACTTTCCAGATGATGACCATCTATTTAGCAACTTCTAACATTCTAATGACCAAACTTGAATCCTCAGAAACCTTCAAAAACACTGCTATGTTCCCCCGTTCCATGCAGATCTCTTGGGTCTATCAACACTTCGGTCTCCTAAGGGCACGATGCAAATGCCAACAACTGCTCACAAAACACAATCAAATGCAGAGCTGCAAGGAGAAAAAAAAACTTAATATCATCTCTCTTTATCTCTTCCCAGCAGCCTCGCTGTCAACCTCAAGTGGAAAAAAAACTCACTGTCCCGAAAGTGCCTTATTGTTATTCCTGATCAATCCTCAGAATCATAAACAATCTCACAACTTTTTTTCTTTATTCAGCTCTATCTGTATGCAGTTCCCAGAAGGCATTGCCTTTTAGACTCTTCCTCTCTGGTGGCAAAGATGTCGGGAAAACAAATAACCGCAGGAAACAAAACAAAACAAAGTCTCCTGAAATACCTTGCTGATGCCCAGAGGAAGGCGCTGGACAGACAGATGAGCAGATAGGTTTCCTCTGTTCTCCTCAGGCTGCCTCCTCTCTCGGCGTGCTGTGGAGAGTGACTGCTCACAGTCCGCCTGGCATATCTAATTAGAGCCAGGCTGTTTCCACTATCGGGCAGAGGATCTACCTCTCCAATCTCTCCTGACTCAATCTTCCCCATCTCTGATTTTCTTTTATATTTATGCTGGAATATTTAATTGTAGACAAAAGGTTACTCTGGGCTCTATTCATCGCACACAGGCAGAATAATCTCCTTTAAAAGGCTTGACATTTCAGGCTTTTCAAAAGGGGCTGAAAAAATTATATCCCCGCTTTTGTTAATCAATGAAGTAGAACTCCCCCGAACAAAAGAATTAAATTGCTTGGTTGGGTTAATAAAACACACAGAAATAGCTGCTTCCTGTGGGCTTTTGTGCCTGCCTCTGGCTCTCCCTCATATGCAACCAGCACTGTAATTCCATATGATTTGGGGGGCAAAACTCTCATTTCTCCACACAGTTGGCTTTTTAAATCCTATTGAATGGGCAGCCTGTGAGGCTGGCTGATTGGGACCTCTTGCCTGAGCCTGGCTGCCGGGCTGGAAGAACAGGCTCTCCATTTAAATCTGACTTCCACCAAGGAGAGACAGCGAGTCCACTACAATTTACAATTTCTATACTGCCTCTGCCTCAGAAAAAAAAAAACATTGTAATTATGCAAATGATAGGGGCAATAATTAGGCCCTTCACTGTCCCATTGTGTTCGCTGCTGCTGCATTTCAGTCCGATGGAAGCAGACACGCAGCAGGACATGTTCTGGCTTAAATTGCTCCTCACAGTCTGCAGATGTGCTCGCGATCACCCGGAGCCAGAGCGTGGCTGTGTGAGAGCTGCTCACCACTGGAACGCAGAGGCCTACTGCTCCAGCCACCTTTAGCCTATGCATTTTGCTTCACCTGGAAACATAACCTGCATAGTAATGTGGGCAGCGTGAGTAAACGAGAGAACCCACGTTTGGCAATTAAGTCATTCAAAAGCATATGAAACAATCTTCCCCGGGAAGTCTTGAGCTAAAAAGAACAATCATTACATCCCTGTTGTTGAGTGTGAAAACGCCCATGCAATATACATTTCAAGTTTTTTCCTCCACGCTGAGCTTCAGTTTTAGCCATCTTTGTAACAACCTGCCCAAACATGATGGTTTTTTGAATGAATACATGCAGTGCAGCCCTGAGATGGTCACATGTCCAACAAGAGCTGTAAATTCAATTCAAATTTCCATGTTGGTTCCATTAGATTTGCTACAGAATTTATCCATACAGCCCCCCGCCCCCCCCCCGCCCCCATAAAGACTCTAGAAAGGTGAGTGAGCCCATGTTAGTAATCCTGCTGAGTATTTTAGCGAAAAAGTTTCTGTGCTTGTGAGATACCATTAATTTGAGCTTGCTCGCTCATGCTAAAGATGCATTCAAAAGAAATAAATCTAAATGAAAATGGATCAAAAGTAAATCAAAACATCTGTTTATCTTTAAAACCTAAATTAAAACTGAACTTAAACATACATACATTTTTTGTTTTGTTTCTTTACCTCAGTGTATAACCATTAACAGCTGTTCATTCTAGGATTTACAAGCAGAACCACGGGCTGCTAGCTTCAGTTTGAACAACTTTCTTGAATTTTGCAGTTTGTCAAACTGACCACCAGTAAAACCCCTCTCAGGTGGACAATCTCCAGCTGGAAAGTGCATTTGTGATTAACAGCGTTTATCTTCCGAGAGAAAAAAAAAATATCTGGATTTTATCATCAATTGAAAATACCTAACTCCATAATCACAAAAAAAGTTTTAGCTGAGTTTTAGCTCAGATCTAAAGTGGTGTGTGAATATATATATATATATATATGTATATGTATATGCTGCAACATAATCTTATACATGTATCCAGTGTTAAGTTCAAATAACCTAGCTCGATACAGTTTTGCATGATGTTCTTTTTCGAATTTATATAGAAACTTATAACTTATAGAACAATTTAAGAATTTGTAAAACATTTCACCTGAAAGTCCACCTGACTCTTCAACTTAAGTGTATTAGGCTAATTAAATTAAGCTTGCACCAGAAACGTTTGCATTAGAACATGTGCATGGGATTGGTTTAGCGAACCACTTTCAATTAAACCAGCGGAAGCTAGCTTTTGAAAGTTTGACACCTAATGGACGATAGAGTCAACAACATTTGTTTCAAAATGATAACAACATGGTTTTACTCAACTTACTGCAAAAAGCTTCAAATCAGCTTTTATGTTCACGTTGGCATCATGAAAACATTAACAGTGGGGAAAGAGACAAGTGGTTATGCCATTTTTTGCTAAATGTTTGAGTCCACCTGTGAGCCGGTGCTGCTTCTTACCGGCTGCTGCTGCAGGGGGAGCAAAACGTAACTCGAGAGTTTACGACAATTTACCCCCATTTGCGGCATAAACACATGGACGCTTGAGCTACGAAAGCATGGGAGGTCAAAAGTTATGATTCAAGTCTGTATCAGCAACGGCACATAACACGGACACATGGTAGGATGGAAACGTAATTATTCATAAATTGGTACGAGAGCCGGAAACAGTAACATGCGCAACCGTGTGATTAAAACCACTATCAGGTTCATTTCAGAAAGGCTAAGCTAACGTTAGCTTTTCTCTTATGTGACCCAAAGCGACTGGATCTAATTGAGCTGTTGTTTCATAAGATGCTTTTACCAGATAGCTCATCAAAGTTAGTGTGGGAAATTGATCACCAAGAGTTGCCACAATTAGATGTTGGTGAGCGTTGTGATATCTGCGAAGCATTTGTTGACATTTGCAGGGCAACCCTGTGAGAGGGCGTCTGTCTCTATGCTCATGGGCTTTATTTGACATGTTTACCTATGTGTCTCTACAGGCCAGCTCCATGGTGGCGGTGGGACTGGCCCTGGCAGCTGCTGGATTTGCAGGTGATTCATAAAGTTCTTAAACCTGTGAAAAAAAGGCACTGCAATTATCTTTGGAGCTGTCATATTGTGCTTAGAAATGCAACTGATAACTAAGGCAAATGTGTAGCTAATATTAGAGTTGCCTGACCTGGGTACCCAAACACACTGTTTTTCGTTGTTGTCTTTTAGGTCGATATGCCATGCACGCCATCAAGCAAATGGAGCCTCAAGTGAAACAGGCCCTTAAGAGTTTCCCCAATTCGGTCAGAAAGAAACAGCAATATAGACTGATATTTATATTCAGTCAGATTCATTTTCACTCAACTGATTCTGATCTGCACAGGCTTTTGGAGGAGGGTACTACAGAGGTGGATTTGAACCAAAGATGACAAAAAGAGAGGCCGCACTTGTTTTAGGTGTCAGGTAAATTGCTGTATATTCCCATGTTTTAACTCTCCTGCACTCAATTCACCAGGGATTTGTTCTTCCCTTCTTATTCCTGCTACATTTCTGTCTTTCAGTCCAACAGCCAACAAAATTAAGATCAGAGAGGCCCATCGAAAACTCATGATCCTGAACCATCCCGATAGAGGTGAATGGAGAATTTCAAACCTCCCCGCAGTCTCAACTTTGGTGCCAGTGTTGCTATTTTAACATATAGCTGTTGTTTATAGGTGAAGAAAAGCTGCCACACATCATAAAAAATCTATGGCAGAAAAAACATAATTAGGAAAAAGCTTGAATCTTGAAACTTTGCCGGATAGATCTCTCACTTTAATTTTTTAACTAGTTGAAGGAAACGTAATCTAATCCTGTTGTACTTCAGAACTAGAACTGTGTCCAGCCGTTTATTCTGACAGTTTGACCCCAAGGTTTTTCGGAATCCCTGATGTTGTGTAAATGAAGATGACACATATTTGAATGAATCTGTATGTTAATAATAGCAAAACTGGCATTATAAAACAAAATTTAATGAACCTGCATCAGAGTTGCCATCCAATTGACCTAATGTTTTTGGATGGCAGGAGGAGACGAGAGTATTTCAGTGTCGACCACTAACCATGCGCTCGTATGTGTGATCCCACAGGTGGATCTCCGTATATTGCCGCAAAAATAAATGAAGCAAAGGACCTGATGGACGGACAGGCCAAGAAGTAGAAGTGAAGCTGAATAAGCATTACGGCTCTCCTCATTTCTGCTGTTGCACTGGCATACTTGAACGAGCACTTGCTTTTCTATTTTTTTCTCAAAATAAAAAATAGGTGGGATAAAAAAAATAAAAATCACACTGTACTAACTGGAAATTGAATTATTCATCATTATATGCTGTGTCTCACTAATTAACACTGACATTTGGAGAATTTTTATACAGTTCATACATTCTTGATGTAGCAACTATTTACTGAGCTGGAATGGACAGACAAACTACAATAAAGAAAAAAACTCCAATAATCCTATGCATGTCAGTTTGGTTAAACGGATCGGAGAATTTCAAACCTCCCCGCAGTTTCATCTTTGGTGCCTGTGTTGGTATTTTAACATATATGTTGTTTATAGGTGAAGAAAAGCTGCCAGACATAAACAAAACTATGGAAGAAAAAACATAATAGGAAAAAAGCTTGAATCTTGAAACTTTGCCAGATAGATCTGTCACTTTAATTTTTGAACTGCCTGATCCACTGTGTACATGCCACCATTGAGGCCTGCGACAGCCACCTTTTGGGAATTTTGAGTCGGAGGGATGAACTACTTCTCAAAATACCACGTCCGCTATTTTTACCTTATAGAAAAACAGGTCAAATTTGCTGAGAATGGCTTGTTAACAAAAGAGACAGTAAGGTTTACATCTAATTAGAAGATCAAGTTTATTTAAGAACTACCTGCATACAAAACATATTGCACATCAACCAACCAGACAATCCTTAAAAAAAAGAACATTGTAGTTGACCCAACAAAAACACTTGGGATGTCACAACTCTCAGTAGCCCAAATTTGTCATTTGTCTTTATAGAGAACGTCTGAATATCACATATTTTAGTGTCGAGAAAAAGAGCATCTCCTGTTTTTTTTGTTTTTTTTTCTTCTTTTTAAATACTGTACACTTTTTTAAAAAATAAATAACCCAAATAAATCTTCTTCCTTAGAGGAACAGTCGTGACCAGTTTCCAGCCAGCCAGTTTGGAAGAACCAAGAACATGACTCCGTTGTCACCTGAGCTTGGATTTCCAGAAACATCTCAACACAGGAGTTCTACAGTTAAAGGGCATGTGGGAGTGGCAGATAACCTAACGGATACAGCAAACATGCTCCTAATTACTGTTCATTTAAATCGGATTTCTAGCTTTAAAAAAGCCCTACAATCTCTCATGACACTTAGTGAAACTGCCTGATTTTTAGTAGTGGGATGTTTCCAGGAAACCCAGCACAGATGTATACGTTTCTGTCCAGCACTTAACAGTAATGGGTCAGTTTTCAGACACAATAGCAAATCAGCTTTAACAGAGAAAGGTTACATTTCAGTGCAAACAAATTAACTCTCCTTTTGCTTGTTTCTTTTCCAGACAAGCTTTAATACTTCTTCTATGACTAAAAAGATTGCATACTGGGAAAAACAAGCATAAAAAAAAAGAAAAAAAACAGGAAGCAGCTAATGTTAAATTCCTTAACATATACATACATATATATGTATACATATATGTATATATATATATATTTATGTGTGTGTGTGTGTGTGTGTGTGTGTGTGTGTGTGTGTATAAAGGATAACTTGACTTATTCCCCCTACCCAATGACATTAAGCGCAGACACACTTTGTTGTAAAATGGTGGCTCTGAAATCCTGTAAGGGTGCTGTGAGTTCACCATCACCTGGCCACGGCACCCTTACACTACAGAACACACAGACAACTTATCAGGTTTACTGTAGGAGAGAGCAAAACAGTCACACAGAAACAAGTCGATGGATTTCAGATGGTGTGCAGAGTCAGGCAGCAACTTGTTGAATCTACTCTCAAGGCACAACAGCTGATCACATGTACGTCAATCATACTTGGGTTTCCAACAAACCTACCTGCACTGTGGTACAGCTCATGCAGAACATTTAATTTACAAACAACCTCAAACTCACAAAAGATCCTGAAAAAAGTTGTGGAAGCATCTTTCAGAGTCCACCTGATAAAAGGCAGACATTGTTGTAAAACCCTGCTATGATATTTTTCCAATACAAAAAAAGAACTGCTGCATTCACACCACAGTATGGGTTTGAGTGGAATCCCTGTCTACATTTTAGAAATACTGTATTCAGTCCCACCTCTCTCTCAGCTCTCAGTGAAGAGTGGACTTTAAACTACAGTTTATGTACATGTCTGTAAGTATGTGGGTTTGACTATCTTTGGCAAGCTCATACAGGAAAGACTACTGTAAAAAATGTAGTAAAATGAAAAAGTTGTACAGATAGATGTCTAAAGAGGAAGTTACTGTCCACAACTCTGTTGTGCAGCAAAGCAGGTTTCAAATATTTGTAGAAAAAGAACAGTGCTTGTTGTGTTTAAATGTTAACAATAACTTCTGAGGCCACTCCAGAGTCATAAGATTCAATCAAGTGCAGCCAAAAAAATAAGTTCAAATATTTGAAACCATTTCCTTTGCTCTGGTCTGACTAGGAAAGTCCATTAGCAACAGGTTCTGGGTTACTGTCCTCCTTGTAGGAGACTTTTGCAGGCTTCTCACTGGAGGACCTGGGAGCGTTTGCGGCGCTGTTGCTCAGGTCATCAGAAACACTGTTGGAACCACTGGTGGTGGCTGGAACAGCCTGTGGGCTGTGCTCGGTGATGGCTTCCACCTGACCCTGAACACACAGAAGCAACAAACACAGTCAAGATTCAAACGCATTTCTGATATTTTCAAATTAGGTTGAAGAAAGAAAATCTACATTCACAACTAAATAAAACCTGCAGAATGACCAGGACTGAGCAAGACTACAGATTAACCAGAAAAAAATAAACAAAACCTGGCATGTAGTACTGACCCCATCCTTGTTTTTCTTGTTGTCCTTTGCACTCATCTGTCTGCTCTGGGATTCAGCTCTGGAAATGTAGTCAGCCACAGTCACTGCAGAAATAGAAAGAAATCAGAACCGTTAGCCACGTAAGAGGACTGTGGCATTTTGCAGTTATTCTGTCCCAAAACTGAAGAACTTCATCAAAATTTAATTTAGTGGAAATTAGTAGAAACACAACATTTTAGCACTCTCAGTGTCAGGTATTTGCACACCTGAGGACACGAGCAGTCCAAAAAGCAAACATGTTCCCAGTTGCCCTTCAATCATTTTAGGTTAAAAAAGATTAGGACAGATATAAGTTTAATAAAAAATAATGCAACTCTTGTAATAAGCAACAGTAATATTGTGCCTGTAAAAAAGATGAATGTGCATATCCAGTATTTGCAAAAGTACAGTTTACTCTTTTTTACCATGTCTAAGTGACAATGCATGATTGTCAAACAGCCACAGAAAAAAAGAAAAAGGCCAAGCCACACTCACACTACACAATTCTGGATCTGACAGGTGTGATTAGTATCTGTCTGGTGGCACACCACTACAACAATGAGTGGGTACACGCAGGCACTGCTGCGTTTACCTGGCTGCCTTTCCTCAGGCAGGCGGGGGCGGCGACGTCGGCTACGATTGCGACGCTGAGGTTTTGCTTCAGAGTCATCTAAGGGTGTTAAGTCACCAAAGAAGAGGATTTGGGCCTTAAATGTAATCGTCTTTCACATCTGTGCTTTCTTTTACAGTTAAAGTGGCGCACTCACATACTGCTTTGAACAGTATGTGAAAACACCTTTTCCTCCCTATTTCCTGAAAAAAATTGATAATGTTCATAATAAATCATGTGACTTCATACCTATTCCATTCTCGCTCATCGAGGCATTGTCAGACTCGCTCATGCCATCCATCAGAGTGGTTTCCTCATCTGTTCTGCGTCGCCGAGACCTTCGGCGGCGGTTGGCAGGCAAGTTGGACTCACTTGCATCTGTGTCAGCTGTCTGGTCGGTCTCAGTGTTTGTCTCTGTGGTTCCATATGGGTGGTGGTCCTCGTTATCCCGGGAGCCTGCTGGTGAATTATTGATCAGCAGCTTATCTGAGAAGAGATTTTTTAAACTTTTTCATCTCTGTATGGTCTTTAAGTAAGTCTTACCAGAGTTGTTGTTGTATCCTCCTCTTCCTCTGCCCCTTCCACTAGGACCTCCTCGGCCTCTGCCGGGCCCTGGCCTCCGGCGCCCATCTCTTTGTCCTCGAGGGCCTCTCTCCCTGGAAGCCCAACAAGGCAAAAGGAAGCAGTCAAACCAATGTGCATGTTCCAGCTTTAATTAAGACTGTAGAGATTGTGGCATTTGAGCAGCAAATGAAGCTTACCTGTCCTGGTCCTCTCCAGCCAAAGACCAATCGCTGAGTTCCTCCTTCCGCTCTGAATCTGTCTCAGAGGCATTGGACTGCTCTGAGTTGGTGCCTGAAATTAAGCAAATACAAAAGGCATAAAAGGATATCATAGCATCTAGTAAAGGATCAAACAATCACTCTATTCTTGATCACACCCAACTCCTGATACGGTATATTCCTGCAACAAGTAACTTCTTTTCGATCTGATTTTTAAAGGAGCCCACCATATCCGGTGCTGTAGCTATGGCCTCTGCGTCCACGACCTCGACCGTTGTAGGAGCGACTTCCGTGTATGGAGGTCGAGGAGGTGTTGGCGCTGTTGTCTGCATTATAGCCACCGCCTCGATCGCCTCTGTCACCTCTATCGCCTCTATCACCTCTATCAGCTCTCTCGCCTCTCTCCCTGTCAACTGGTCGGTGGCCTTGGGTGATCTGACGTAGCTGTTCATCAATCTGCAACCGCTCCATACGAAGCTGCTCAACCTCCTTAGAGAAGGAGAACAGGAAACAATGACAATAAAGAGAAAACTTTCAAGAATTGTCACAGAAACTTATATGATTTTCATTCTTATTGATTTCAGAACATCAGGTAAAATGAGACATTTTTAAATGCATCATGCACACATCCACATCACATACAGTGCTCTTTGTACTGTTAATAATGAATCTTGCTAGGGTGCTTCCCTGCGTATAATCCACAATCTGCCTCAGCTCTTCCTCTAGCTGCTGGCCCTCTGCAAGAAGCTCCACCATGTCCTACACAAACAGCGCAAACAAATCCAAAAAAAGCCCCACCACAGCACAAAACATGCAGACAGCACAGGACATACACACATGCACAGTGGAAAATATTTACACGGGACAAACACAGTTTGGGGAAATTTGTGAAGACAATTAGGCTTTAGGTTAGGGAAGTTACTCAAGTTAACTGTGAAGGATTATCCATTTGAAATTATACACGTACTGTTCTACAAATAGTACACAGCAGAAACCTAGTCATGTTGCAATGATTTACATGCACTGTCTACATCCTGACGCAAAAGGGATGTGATGTGATGAGAAAAGCACTCAAAAGCTCTAAAACATGCTCTAAATCCATGTTGACATTCAGTGTAACAGCACAAGACACAGCCCAAAAAAACAAAACAAGAAACACAACCATCCTCCCAAACTCAACACATATTCTGAGGCCTTACATTCAGGTAGGAGATGTGATACTCCAATAAGACCTGAACATTTCCAATGCTCTCCTTAGTACCGACAAAGGTGAATGGGACCATTCCCTGTGTCAACAAAACACAAAAACACAACACACATGTTAGTATGGGACCATCTGAACCAACTGATACAGTGAACATGATCTGAATGCTGTACAGATCCTTGACAGTAAGTAACTTGAGGGGAAGCTGTGTGCATGTTGCAGTAGCAGGCTTACTTCCTGTCTGGGCTGCTTGTTGTCGTTGTCTCCTTCTATCCTGACCCTCACCACACCGGATTTATCCACAATCTCCTGGATTACCTTACCATTTTTACCAATCACTTTTCCTAGAGACAAAAAGCAGGAAGGGATCTGAACATGACCAGAGGCAGGTAAAGTCAAAGGAAAGAAACTATGTAATTTTTAACAACAGTTTTTTTTTTGTTCCAAAATTGCACAAACCTTATTGTGAATAAAAGTTGAATGTCTGGCAGTATATTGCACATACTTGCCTTAATATGTTATGAATGAGAGAAGCCAAAAAATGTTTGTCTACATACCAACAAGCTGCCTTGGCACCTGGACAGAGTCCTCAAGAAATTCCAAGAAGTTTCTTGCTTTCTTTACCGCTTCTTCTGTCTGATGGACATAAAACACACACTCAGATCACACACGTGTAGTCTACATATTCAAGACAGAATGAGTTACATATAAACAAAAAAAAAAAACTCGCTAAATTGTTGGTATAAAGTGGATCATTTATTCTATTCAGATAAATCTTTAAAGTACAACACATGGACTTCACTGAAAACAACACTCTCTCAACACACTTAACCTACCATAGAATAATGGTAACAATGAAACTGAGCGTGCAGATGTAACAGTGAAAACAACCATGAGCCTTTATCCCGTGCTTACAGACCTAAAATACTCAGATTTAAAATATTTTCAGGAGACATTTTGCGTATTTCTCACCTGCCCTACCGCATTATTGATTGTTTTTGGTTTCGGATGAGTGTCACACACTTCCCTACCTCTCCATAAATCCTAAACGTGCCGGTGTCTTCATCCAGCTCAATGGCAGTAACACCTGGAACTTTCCGTGCTTGCTGGATGTTGCTACCGTGGCTACCGATAGCCAGACCCATCAGATCCGGTCTCACCGTAAACTCCTCCTGGAAGGATGACACCAGCTGTCTGGAAGTCTACATAAACATATGAGCACAATTAAATTCAGAAAGTCAGTCTTACATTTTTTGTAGTTATTCGAAACTTCTACAGATGTCTTGGTTCCAAAAACATCACCAAGGTGGTTTTCAAATGAAAAAGCTGCCTTAAATAATACTTGATTGCTTAAATACACCAAATTCTTGAAAACCTAAGCAGCGTTGATTCAAGCCGCAGCGTAGCCTAATGGTTACAGCGGGCGGACCATGTGTGAGGACCTCCTCATAAGCGGGCGTCTGTCATTAAAGGCCACTAGAGCCAACAAAATCTAAAAAAAATGTTTTTAAAAACCTTGATTCAGACACGATGAGTCAACATTGAATTTGCCCAATGATCTGAGACCTTTAAAAGTTCAAACTCAGCAAACTACTGAACGTAATCAGCAAGTATTGGATGTGTTAGGACAGGGCTCAGCAATCTATGGCTCTTTCAGCCTTATACTACGGCTCCCTGAAGCCTTGGAAAACAAATTATCTGTAAAAAAATGTTGTTTTCTTTTTATCATTGGTATTTTAGTACCATTAGTATTTTAACTGTCCTGCTCAATTTTATGAGTATAGTTATCTTGCAGCAATAAAATATAATGGTATAAAGGTATTTCTGTTGTATAAAATATACATCACAAGCCAAAACTACCTTAAATTCCAAAGGAACAACAGACATGTTTCTGAAGTGGAGCTTGGCACTGAGAAGAATATTTATTCTCTCTTTATTTTTACAGAACATACCAGGAGAGAAAGTATATATTATCTTCATTCTAGAGGCCAAAAATACTATGCAGCTCCTCACAGATTTCTTGTGGGGAAAACCGGAAAGCAGATGAACGCTCTTTTTTTGTTTAGTATGTATATACATTTTCTAAATGGCTGCCTGTTAAGTTTTGGTGATATTAGAAGAGAAGCACCCTGTGGTAGCAATTCAAGTGGCTCTTAAAAAACCTGAACCCAGATCATTACTATTACATGTATGGCTTGTTATCAACCGACCTCGAGGTGTTTTGTGGCTTCCTGATTGCGTGACATTAACATCAGCTTGGTTCTGATGCTGCGCAGGTGCATATCACTCAGCAAAGACACACGCTTCACCGTCGTCTCATTGGTGGACTTGAAACACACAAACACAGGAAATATAAGAAATAAATAATCAAACACTTGCAGAGGTGCTCCTTTATCGATGATGACAAAAAAGAAAGGAATTGCTGAGTCGCCCTCATCACAAACAAACTAAGCAGGACAGATTGTGACATGTTGCAACACAGCATGGAGATACAGAAAACATCCAAATATAGTTACCACAATCACAAGCTGACTGGTGTCAGGGCAGTAAGAGACTCGACAGGCTCCCACAGCTTTTTTAAAGTCCTTATGTGCATTGTCATTCTGGCACCTGCAACACAGAAAGAATCTTACTTTATGTTCCTCATATAAACAAATGGCAAAGAGATGTACATCAGACCATTCAACTAGAAAACGGACATTTAATACTGCCAGCAATAAAAATCATTATTGCAGATACACAGAACCCCTGAGGACTGTGTGCTTCTCTGATGTTAACATCTTAAAAGGTACAGGACATACGCTTCTTGAAGATCCTGAGGGACAGGGACAGTGCACTTGTGGAAAGAGTTCTTGGAGATGGCCTTGTTGGTGTTGACTGGGCGCAGACGCTCAAACGTAACTATCTCGTTGTAAGTGGCATCACATGCTGCATACTCAATCACATAAAACTGGAAACACAAACATGGTGAGTGAGAAAAACTATTAAAATGTCCCAACTTCATGTAGAAACTGAACAAATGCAAAGAGCAGGTTTAAGATTAGCGCTAGAATATTACAATGTTTGTCAATATTCTTTTTTAATTTATAGAGCCGTTTACTTAAAGAAACATAAATTCTCACACACAATACTCACATCTCCCTTCATCATGCGGACTTTAGCCAACCACCAACCACAAGGCTCCTGTTCGTTAGCTCTGGAGAAGATCTGCAGAGGAGATTAAATGACATGGTGAGTAAGTCGTAGAAAGAAGGACAACAACATCAAACAAGCCTGAGCCTTTCTCACCTCCACCTCTTCGCCCTCTCCCATCTCCTTCTTGACATCAGTAGGTGGTGGCAGCCTGACTTCACTGAAGGGCACCTGGCGTTCTGGCTGCCAACTAAAATAACATGCTTTTATCACTTATTGCTAAAACATTGTTCTCCAGGAAATTAGAATTTCACATGTTTTACATAAGCAGCAAAAATATAGGAGAAAAAGGGGCTTACTTGTTCTCAAAGGCAATGGTGAGAGAGTCATCGTGGATATCTTTGACAAAGCCCTATAGAATGAGATGGGAGCAACTGAGTTATATAAGATATTTGCTTTGTGTGCATTCCGGCAAAAAGGTTCAGACTGATTAAAGTATTTTGGTATTGAATAATGCAGCAATGCACCCATAAAGGCCAGGAGGAAGACCAAAAGCAGGTACACATGGATAAAATGGTAGATTTAAAACACAAGGGCTTAGTTTTGCTATTGTTTTGGTTTTTTGGCTAACATCTATTTTTTTACAAATAATCTTATTTGTCTTTCAGCATGATAGCATGTTGTCCTGAATTGAAAACAAATACCTGGCAGAATTCCCGCAGGAAAAGTATAATCTTATTCTCATAAGCAGCAATGAAAGCATTTGATTTCTGACTTTCACTACGGAATACAACTAGTGTGATGTATATCAAATATATTCCTACATAAGTCTGAATTTAAACTAAATTATAAATCAAATCAGAAAGAAACCTTATGAACCAGAAATCATCTGATTTTGGAAAGGGAAATCTGTTTACTCAAACCTTTCGATCATTTCATAACCTTATGATAATAGAAATGTCAGTTTTAGAGATCAATTGTTGTTGTTTTTAATGTTGCACAAATATTAGCTAATATGTTTGCACTTTTTTTACTTGAAAAATGTATGGAACAGCTCAGACACAGTTGAAACTGCTTACACCTACTTTTCTAAAAAAAATAGTAAAATACCACATATCTATAATCTGATTAATGATCACAACAGTAGCTAGCATCATAGGAACTAGAGGTTAAACAAAAAGGAGCAGGTAAGAAATTGCAACAAGGCATGAAAGAAAGAGTGAAGGAAGTGATTGAAGTAAACGTCGGGTTGCAGACCTATAAATAGTTAGTAAGTCTGCGGTATCAGCAACCCTCCCCTGGCATAGCTAGATTGACAGGGAACAACTGGTTCACACATGCACATAGTAAAGATAGCTTTGGCATGATGGAGTATCAAATAATAGATGGTGACAGTCAGTCGTGGGGTATTTGGAGATAGACAACCAGGCATTGAGCTTTCAGAACACCACACACGTCAAACAACTACAATCTTGATCTTCAAGAGCTGGGATAGCAACTAAATAGCCTAAATGTTAAATAAATTGCAGGCTCAGTGCCCACATCAAGTGATGTAAACAGTCTACCAACTAGCAGCTAGCTTCCTTTTGACATCGGAAGGTTACTGTTATAAAGTCATGTTTAATTATGAGTGTTTCATGGATTCGTGTGGTAACAATTAGGAATGTAAACCTTCCAGTCTGGGTTTAGTAACTGTCCCAAAAAGTGTCACTTTGGAGGCGACTCTCGAGCTATGTTAGCTTAGCCTGCTAATTTTAGCTAGTACTGCTATTACACGCTAATTACAAGCAGCTGGGTGGATTCAGAGAATTTTCAAACATGTAGCCACGGTCCGTTTGGATTCAGATTGGATAATGTATTACGCGGTGAACTATTAAGTTTGTAGCTGCACGGAAAAGATAGTATTTACCTTATAATAAGCGCCGTTTGAGCCACGGACCTCCACCGCCAGTTCTTCCATATTGGACACGCAAAGGATGCCGGGACGACAGGTGTTTCTTTAAGCATCAGGAGTGAAATTGGAAGACAGGAAAGCTGCATTTTTCAGTGCTTTATTTATCTATGTATTTAAAGCTCTACAATCATAAACCTGTTTCCATCTGAACTCTGGGCGTTTTCTGTATAACATCTATATGTATATGTATATAGGGTTAATCTGGTTTTTAGTTAATCATCAGATCAATTTGATGGCCCAAAGTTTTTCTTTTTTTAAACACACCGATGGAATTCACACCTCTCGAGGGGGGGCGATATTGGGGGGCCACATGGGGGCAACGTAGCTCTAAATACTGGAGTCAAACTGCCCTTGGCATCCATTATTCTCCAGTTTATGTAATCTGATTACTTCAGAAAATGTGAACTCCATGTACACCTTAAATAGTTTTTCTGATAGTATGATATTGAAATTAAATCAAGAAGCAAGCTGAACTTACTGCACTGTCCATATGGGTGGATGGACCCCTGGTGTCCAGCTATAATAATATTAAAAAAAAGATTATCCTGTATCTTCAATTCAGAAATACTATTTCTCCCTAATTCAATGATGCAATAATTTTACTATAATTGTATCTTTGTATGAAATGTGATGGTAGTCACTAATGAAATACTCAAATGAAAACAATAAAATATTTCAATGTGTATTGTATTGTGTATAATGGCGTATGTGACAAATAAAGCTTATCTTATCTATAAAAAAGGCACTATGAGGAGCTGTCTAATAATTACATGCATGTTAAGATAACATTGTAAGCCAGGTGCATTGACGTTTGATGCTGTAAGTGAATTTAACTGAAAATATCTTACTTAATTTGGAAAAAATTCAAATGAGCACTTGTTATCTTATATGGCACAATTATTTAACAAAGATGATGCTTTAATAAGCATTTCCTTCTTTTTTTCTTTCTTTAATGAGCATTTTCAGCACTGGTGAAACAAAAGTCCACAAGTAGACAACATAACTGGGAATGTGAATCAACTAACAGACAACACACATATTAATGTGTACACACACACACCACACACATTAGAGCTATTGAACCATTAGAAATAATGATTTTTAAAAGCCCAACAACAATATGTAAGAAGATGTCAACAATTCATTAATTAATTCATTAATTAAAAGGAGTCAAGGAGCTGGCCTCATCCTTGAGAAAGTTCTAACTGCTAAACTCTTTTTTTCTTTTTTTACAAACGTAGATTTGCTCTACTGAATCCTTTTCAGTTCTTGTATTAGAATTGTAAGAGCAATCACTTCAAAGTCGTACTAAGTGAGTAGAAGTAAAGCATTTCAATGCTTACAAGAGTTCATTAATCCAGAATGATAATGGCAAATATGGTTACTGAAGGATGGGCACGCATGAAAACAGTGACCAGCAGCCAGATGAGCAATTAAATTAGATATTGTAACTCATACAAATCAGAACCTTGACCAAAAGTACAATTTATGATGTTATAAAGCCATATAAAGAGACTTTCAAAAGCTGCTTTGTCTTTAAACCAGAATGTCTCCTACCATGAAAATATATCTAACTTGTGGGTGCAAATGAACATAAATTTCATAATCCCCAAAACTGACGAATTTGATCAAATTCTAAGGAAAACAAAACAAAAGACATACTGCACAAGTTAAACAATGTTCTTTTTAAAAAGTAGTTTTCCATATGCTTAAAAATTCCAGTTTTGGCATAAACATTAAACATTTAAGGGCCAAAAACAGAAAATGCCTTAATATCTATTACTGGGGAACTTTCTCTGAAACTAATGGCTCCTGAATGGCAAGATCATTTTAAACTAAAATCAAAGGATAATGCACATAATTACTGTGATGTGTGTTTGAAATAATTTATTTCTTGTTACCCAAGACTGTACAGAAGACTACACAGCCAAAGGGAGACCAGATGCTGCCTCTTCTTTTAGATACAGCTACTGTGACATCTAGTGGCCAGTAGTTCACCTACTGGACTGAAACTCCTCAACAGATATGTTCTTTGATCTGTCACAACCACAAGACCCCATCATTAAACTACTGTGCTACCTGTAAAAAATCAAACTAAACATGACATCTAAACATGAAATTATGCCAAGACTTTGAAAACATCAAATGATGACAGGAAATCATTTACAGGCTTTCTAATTACAGGAAGAGTCCGAGGCATGAAATCAATCTAGCCATAAAGGTCATTTCAAATTCTGTGTGGTGAGGAAGACAATATTGTTTTTTGGTGACAAAAAGTACAACATAATAATTAGCCATCACCTTTCCTGCCATTTTATCTCAAGCACTGACTTGATCATATGCTGAGTGTCTGTTTGTCTCAATATATTACACATTTTCTCTAACAGTAATTGAAAATATAGTATATATTATTTGAAACTGATAATAGATAAATAAATAGAAAACTAATGGAAAAGGTGTTCTTTTGCAGTCCATTTAGTATTTTTTATATTTCTCATGCAATTATTTACAACACTATTGCATTCATCCAAAAAAGTATGACATTCCCAAAAATCCTCATATAGAATTTGGAATAGATCATCATTTGAGGACATTTCTAAGACAACAGTTAAACTGTTGCCACTGAATAATACCTTTCAGTTTCCTTTATGTCAGATTCACTGTAGCAGCTATGATGAAACTCCACTGAGAGGCAGAAAACACAGAATATAGGCGACACAAATCAATAAATCACTCAACAACATAGAATACCAACATGAGCATGCATTTGTGTCTGAAGAAGAGCTTTTACACATTAAACATGAAAAAGATTAACTTTTAAGGAAGCAGGCACTAGGAAGCAGCAGGGCTGACTTCTGTTGTGTGTGCCTGGTGGGTAAGTCAGTGTGTGTGTGCAGGTCTGTGGTGAAAAATATTCTGCTTGGTCTGAGGACATTACCACAGACCCTCACAGTCTGCCTGATAGTCTGTCCCCACGTTCTGATTTAAACCAGTTTACCAATTCCATTATGCTAAGCCCGAACACTGGTTGGAAAATGATGAACGATTATGTGAAACACATAATCTCCCTGCTGCACCATCATTGCAATATGACAGCCAAATTTCATTCATCCTATCCAATTTCTCCCTTATTTAAGGAAAGAAAATTACTGGTCCCAGTAATCAGATATGTAGCAGGGCTATGTGCAGGCGTTAAGCCCACTCCCATTAGGTTTTCTGCCTTGCTCTGGCTGTAGTCAAACACACCCGCACACACATTAAAGATAGATACACATGTTCCACATGTCTGACCCTCCTCAGTTTTCACATCCCCTTTCACCCATTTCAAGGACTATTATTTAGCCTTGATATATTCTCTACAACATCATCCGTTAGTGATGCCAGTTTGAAACACAGTGTCCCTTAAGTGGTTTAGAGAGCTGCAGACAGGCAGTTCTCACACACACACTCACTCTTAACCCCCCCCCCGTCTTCTCTCTCGTCTCAAAAAGGCCTGCACAAATGTTCCATTTCCAAACAACAACATAATTTTGGAAATTAGGTTAAATTAGATAGGAATGCAATTTTATCCTCTTGCCTCTTATTATCCTCCAACAAAATCATAAATAATGGCTAGATATTATTTGGCACCGATATAGAATCCCTCCTCTGTGTGTTTCTCTTTCTACATCTGTGGAGCTAAATCAGCAGCGAGCTTCCATTTTAAACCCCATGTAATTTATTGCTAATACACTGTGGATATCACAGGCCTTTAGAAAGCTTCAGTGTCATAAACAAGAAGAGGGGTATTGAGAATATTTGTTCTCCTCCACGTATGTTCACTTTCTCCCTCCAATCGGGAATGCATTATAGGTGTAATTGAAAATTAGTAGTACATCTTTTTTAAAGGGGTAATTTATCAAGCTTCATTGTTCCTGTGTGACACCTCCAGGGCCTGTTTCTAACAAGGAGCCCGAGGCACCAAGAGGCTTTCCGCCTGCCCAGGCCCCGCAGTGCTCTCTCTGCTTTGTCACTAATTGTGGCCTCCTCTCCAATGAATTGTGCTTCGCCTAAAAGAGCTTGTTGGCTCGATGCAATGAAGCTGCCGGTGACGCTCTCACCATTATCAAAGATACTCTTGATCTTTTCAAAAGCAGGAAATAGATTTTTTTTCCAAGCCCTGTTCAATCATACAGAGGAGTGGGGGTGCTGTGATGGAGGGGGGGAAGTAATTTGCAATGCGTCCATTAGTTCTTCATTAAAGCAAGATTAAATTGCACCTCAAATCACATCTGCCTTTTCCAGTGTAAAGGGTGACAGTTTTAGGGCCAAAACTAATTACTAGTGCCAATGAATGAGAGAGGAAAACAGGGCTGTTTTTACATGAGATAGTGTGGCCTGTCATTATATTCAGACTAATTCCACTTTGCCTGCTCTCTTAATGAGACCAGAACGTCCTCACATCTCTCCCCTTCTCTTTCTCTGTATCTACGCATACTCCAAATGTATAATTTCGATAGCACTTGGAGTTTGCATTAATTAATTTTTCTGCGAGACACGCTACAAGTGCCAAATCTGTGATGTGTTGAATTATCATTCAGGGAGAGAAAGCAAAGAGACGGACAGAGAGGAAGGGACAGACAGACAGCGAGGGACAATATGAGGGACAGAAACGGTGAAGGAGAATAAAAGTGAGATGAATATTAACTTCATGTCTGCCTCAGTTCTTCTTCATCCTCATCTTATTTTTCTGTCAGCGTCCCATATGTGAACGGTTAATATGTTTCCGGAAAATACTGACAAACAGTAAAAATAATGCCGTATGAAGTTAAAACGTTTAATATATGACGATACCGAACATCCCAACAAGACAATGGCATCTTCATGGCCAAGAGTCTTTTGTTTTCTTTTTTTGTTCAAAGAGGTAATTATGATTGAGTAGGGGAACATTACTATTATCTCTCATCCATCCATTATCAGGGAGTGATAACTGTCTTGGGACCAAATTTTTGTCTAGTAATTGGTTTAATACGAATTTGTGTGGGACACCAAGAAA